AAAAAGACATTTCGCGCTTGTTCTCTCCTCTAGAGCCATAAATGAATATTTTATTCGACGCGGTATCCAAAGTAAATTTGACAGCAACATTGGTGTCCACTAGCAAACTACTTCAGTTTACATGTCCGGTAGCAAGGAGACCACTTTTAGTGTCCGGCGGCCAATTTTGCTTTTTTTTTACATAAACGCATGGATGACACTAGGAATTCTGAAGCCCTGCCCTTGGTGACATGTCACATGTGTGCCCACGCCGTGAGCGGCGAATAACGGTTGTGCCACTTATCCCCATGCGAATCTCTCTTATCTCCTCTCGCGACTCACAAAGGGCGCGACGTGCGCGCGTGCCGCTGTGCTGCACCGCCAGTGACCCAATGTGCCGTGCTGTCCGGGCCCCGTCTTCATCCCACAGCTCACTCACTCACAGTGCTGCTGTCCGGCCTCCGTCACCTCACGCTTGACGCGCGCGCGCGCAGCGCACCGATGCCGCCACCGTCTTCCTCGCGCTACTCTCCCGGCCGGCTACTACTCGCCGCGCGCCCGGTGGCTGGCACCACGGCATGTCCATCGTTTCCGTTCCTTTTGGCCTCTTCTTCGTCGTCTATGCAGGCGGACCGCCAGATCGTGTGCTCATGTTTTGCACCTGCACACCTCACAGGTGGGGAGATGGGCGAGCCTGTCGTGCTCGCTGTCCATGAACGGGTGCGCGCCGGGCGCCGGTGACCGCGGCGCGGTGTGCGTGCGCGAGGCGCGCGCGCTTCCGGCCGCGCCGGCGCCGCACGACGCCGTGGGCCAGCTCAGGGCCGCCGTGGACGCGCTCATCGGGTCCGACGCGCCGCCGCCGGCCGCGCCCTCCGGCATCATCCGCATCGAGGTGCCCATCAGGCAGCGGGTGGACGCCATCGAGTGGCTACACGCGCAGACCGCGCTGCTGCCCCGCTGCTTCTTCTCAGCCCGGGCGCCGTTGCCCGACGCGCCTACGCTCGCCGGCACCAGCACCTGCGGCAACGGCAACGGCAATGGCCAACGACAGCAGCCGGTGAGCGTCGCAGGCGTGGGCTCGGCGGTCTTCTTCCGAGGGACGGAGCCCTTTTCTCTCGCTGATTGGCGCTCAATCAAGAGGTAAATCGGCTCCTTTTGTACTGTGGCATTGACGTACGTTTCCGTTTCCAGATGATGTCACTTCTTGTCTGGCTTTTTTAAACAACAACAAAGAGGGCATCATCTTATTTTCTGAATTTGCCATGTTTGGTATGGTCGATACTGAACCTGGCTGCTTGTTGTGTCTGCAAACTTGTGTCTATGAAGATTTCTTCCAAGGGACTGTCCACTGATCCGCGCATATGGCGCCATCCGTTTCGACGCTACGAGTGATGCTTCGGTGGAGTGGGAGGACTATGGCTCATTCTACTTCATTGTTCCTCAAGTAAGTGGCTCTGCAACTGCTAAACTAGGAGATGGAACGGGATGCTGTGATCTTACTCTCAATTTTGTGAAACTGTCTGAAGTCTGAACTATGGTGTAGGTTGAGTTCAATGAGCTCGAGGAAAGCTCCGTCCTTGCGACGACAATCGCGTGGGATGACTCGCTTTCATGGACATGGCAGAACGCCGTGGAGGAGCTCCAATCAACTCTGCGAAAGGTGCACATTTCTCTTCGTCGAGTTTTTTTACCACCTAGAAGGTAGTAACAGTCTGTACGTTTCTCAGATATCGACTTGTTCTGTTCAAGGGAACAAGACCAGCCTACAAACAGCCATAGTAAGTCTCAATCATGTCCCAACCAAGGCATCTTGGGATCTTGCAGTTACTAAAGCTCTTCAGATGATCAAAAGGAGGCAAAGAGAATTGGTAAAGGTAAGCCGTTCTGTTAACTTTGATCCTATTATATTAACAGCCAAAAGCATCTCTGGATTTAGAGGTTTCTCAATCCATCTAAACAAAAAATGCATAGAGAAAATAGAGAAGCATAATGATCAACATTATTGATTGTTGCTTGTTAACTGTGGGCCTGTGACAGAGAAAACAGACAAGTACAGTTGACACTTTGACAGAGTGCACAGGTTCATTGCTTGCTTCTAGCCAATAGGTTTCAAGTCGGACAACCTTATCAATTTTAGAAAAGTTCATGTATGATTGATGTAAATCCATGTTGAAGCTATTATTGACTTAATTTATGATTTATTATTCTAATTTTCTTCTATTATTTGTTTAGAGCGTGTCTGAAACTATGAATGGAGTTACCAATCTTTTTCACAGGTTGTACTGGCAAGGTGTAGCAGATACATTACTGATACTTGCATTGACCCTGTGGAACTGCTAGCTTGCTTGAAGGTCTGTATGCTTTTTCCCCTACCTTGCACTTTCCAAATCGATTTTATTCTATGAGAAAATCACTCTGTAATTTAACTATACAGGTTGAGGGCCAAAATGCTTATCAATTCTGCATACAACCACCACATGCTCCTGCGTTTGTTGGAAATAGCGTATGTTTACTCTGTTCTTTTTAAAAAAATAAAAATAATCATCGCTGCATACTTGAGTTTTTTCTTCTATTTAGTTAGAAAAACTGTCAGATGTATTTCCTAGTTATGTTGCAGAAACGCTAAATCATCATTTTCTAACTAATGTTAATTTTATGCAAACATTCTGAATAGCCAGAGCAACTATTTCACCGGAAACACTTGAATATTTCCAGTGAGGCTCTAGCTGGTACTCGAGCAAGAGGAAAAACAAGGGCAGATGACTTTCAAATCGGTCAGGATTTGCTTCTAAGGTTCCTTTCCCTCCTTAGAATTTATAACTTACTACGATCGAGGGAGTCAGTGTGAAATCAACACCTTGTACTAAAATTGAGCAAGTACTGATGCAAAATTTTCTTGCAGTACCAAAGAGGATATCGAATTTACTATAGTACGGGACAGCATAAAGAACAAGCTGGAGGCAAGTTGAGTTCTAGAAATAATGGCGCTCGACATGGACATAATGCTTTTTTGTGAGGGGGATGGTCCCTGCAATTTAATAAACTAGCCTCTGTGATCTGATCTGCAGATGATCTGTGATGAGGTGGTTGTCCATCCCAGCAAGGCTCTGCGGAAACTTCCAAGAGTACAGCATTTGTCAGCACAGTTAGCTGCGAGAATAAGGAACGAAGATGATGAGGTAACCTATGAAATGAAAGCACCTGTACTACTTGGGTTAATATTTTTGTATGTAATCGTCGAGAAACATGAACCACTCCTCATAGTCAGAGTACATACACTAAAATAATGATAACAAGTTGTCCTGGCAATGCAGTTTGAGATTCTAAATACTCTTCATCCGAGTCCAGCTGTTTGTGGCTTGCCCACTGAAGAGGCGCGCCGATTCATACGAGATCATGGTATGTCTAAATCTTTTTTGGATAATTTGTAGAATGTGTATTTACCACAGTCTTTCTAAAATAAGAACAATGCAATAATTAAATATAGTGATTTGCAAATACTAAATTTTGAATATTCTCACAGAAATTTTTGACCGTGGAATGTATGCTGGTCCTGTTGGTTGGTTTGGAGGAGCTGAAAGCGAATTTGCTGTTGGGATTAGATCAGCGTTACTTGGAAAAGTAAGCAAAACTACAAATCTGTTAAAGTTTACCTACTATGCAGTTCTCATCTTGTATTCTAACTTGTTTTTACCAGACTTGCATATATAGTTGTCGTATTTTACAGTTATAAATCTCCTATGATTCCAGGGTCACAGCACTTTAGTGTACGCCGGTGCGGGGATTGTTGAAGGTACAAATCCATCTTTCGAATGGGATGAACTTGATCTCAAAGCATCTCAGGTACCATTTCGTCGAATTCATGACAAACAGTGTGCTGAGTTTTAATTAAAGAATAAGGCTAATGCATCCAATTTTTGGGTTATTTTCAGTTTGCAAAGCTGTTACGGTACCAAGAACAACATATTCGCTACCAAGAGGCTGAAAATTTGGGAACAGTCATCTGAATAGAGAAGTACAGTAGTAACTAGTGAGTCATCACAAAGTTCGGCGTTCATTTTTTTAGCTAGTTATCGTACACTTATTTGTTTGATAGTAAACTAGAAGGGTTTCAGTTGAAAATTTGTGTAATTATGGGATTCAGAACGGGCGGCAGTGCTGAAAAATACATTGATTGAATCAGCACGTGAAGGTGAATGTAACAGAATATATTTACAGCATAAACTATTTGATTGAATCAGCACGTGAATGTAATAATAGGCTATATTTACAGCAGAAACCCATGGCAATTGAAACATTCCATTTTGCAACTTTGCTCGGTTCGCGTATATAGGTGGCATACTGTTTGACTAATTATCTGATGAAATTATGTCAAAGTTGTACTCGCTGTATCAGTAGTGAATCTATCCAATCTAAGAGGAAGAATGATACGAATTCCATACGCATTGTGAAATCTGAGGTTGTAACAATCTCCAAGCTATCTGTATTAGAGGAGAAATTGCAACAATGGTGCTGGTATGCTGATTATAATTTATAACAAACAAGTCCATGGCTCTCAAGGTCTTACATTCCCATTCCTACAGGAATATTTTGCTTTGATTATGACGACTCCAAGATGAAAGACTTGTCCTCGTAGAAACTATCAATTCTGGCAGAGTGTGGTGATTCCGAAGTTTACAAAACGTAAAGAGATCCATAGAAAGCACTTGGCATCAGTATATGTACAATAGTTGTGAGTAGCAAGAAACCCACCTAGTGTGTACACTGTGTATCTAGAACCCTCCAACCTACTGGGTGTACAGTTGTTCATACAACTGTATGTACCTTGGAGTTGGAGCATGTGAACATACAACCATTCATATCCATGAACATATATACAGAGCTTTGTACAATAACGCAACCCGCAAAATCAAGAAAAAACTAGGCAGGCAGGTAACTGGAAAGAAGCAAAAACAGGTCACATAGTACCTTGATATGCTCTGATCTCTTCTGCTCTTCATGCTGTAGGCTGTGGCTGTGGGCTAGTCTGTCTTCTTGACCCCAGGCAGGGGCAGGCCACCATAGTGATAGAACAGCAGCAGCAGCATGAGAAGGTATCCGACGGCCACAAGCGCGACCAACCTGGCGTCGTCCCTGGCCTGGTACGCGGAGAAGGCCGAGTGGATGGTGAGCACAGCGAGAACCGTCAGCCGGATCCATGGCGCGGCGCGATCGCCACGAGCTGCAACGGAGGTGGAGGAGGAGGAAGAAGCACCGCCAGCTCTCCCGGGGTTCTTGGATTTCTTGGCCATGGATGGTGAGAGGATCAGATTGATGCTGTGGAGGGTGGTGAGGCCTGGAGGGGAAAGGGGAGCTCAATTTCCCCGGGACGAGTAGTAGGAGTAGCTTTCTTCAGTCTTGGTTGTCCCCACATCGGAGGATCAGAACTATGTGACCACTGACGAGGGAACAAGTTTTTGCTCTGCCACATGACGACATCTTTTTGACTATACGGACATACAGAAAGTCTAGGAATCCGATACTACTAGAGACGAGAAACCATACGAGTCAATGTCACGAGTCACGACCCATGAAACCCGGTGAAACACTACCACCAAGTAGTCTCTGGTGGTGTGGTTTCTGGGCATTAATGATTTTTCCATAAATCTTAAAGGCTTATTACATATCTTCTCGCAATCTCAGCTGAATTGCCAACAAGAACTTCCGGGGAGCATCTCACAGTCACAGCTAATTTCTTTAGTTAAGCCCCTTCTCAGCTTCAATGACGATGTACAATTTTCTCAAGTGTTTTGCTTTTGGGCCTATATCCATTTATTAATACAAATATGTCATGTCTCAAGGCAGCTTTATACAGTAGAAGAAAACTGTGAAAATTGCGTGACGAAGTGTGTTTTCTTCTGTCGACTTGACAGAATTGTTTGTTCAATTGCTTGTTCAGTAACCTACGTACTACTTCTGACAATTGCATGCCTCCAGAAGATGCAGCTATCAAACTACAGATCCAAGAAGAGAGTGAGATCAAAGTTTGGCAACAAAACGAAAGGTTTCAAAGAAAGTACTCCTTCAGATTGGTGTGTACAATAGGCCAATAGCCGTGAGTTGTTTCACCGAGCTAGTGCACTGTGCAAGTGTATAACTGTGCCCCATTATCCTGATTTCTGTGAATCCTCCTGCCTGTACTGGGCCTTGGGCTCGCTTATACAGATGTAAACTAGAGCATGTACATACAAACATATAAAGCTGCAACCATATTCATCAACATGCACAACTTTGTACCTGTGTCACTCTGTTCGGCTGATCTATAAGCCGCTTGTGCTGATTTGTTGGGAGAGAAAAATTACTGTACCATGGCTGATAAGCCGGCTTATAATGGCAGCCGAACAGAGCATAGCTACAACCATATTGATTACCATACACAAATCTGTACACAGGCTCCAAAACAAGACAAAGTTAGGCATGAAATTGAAACCAACAAAAACAGTTATCATAGTACCTGCCTACCTGGACATGCACAAGCACACATGTTCAAGATAAGTTTGCTAGTCACTAGTCAGGAAGTTGGATTACCCAGCGCAATGGTCTTTTACCCTTAAAATGTGCAAAATAAATAACCGTGTATAATTTATTAAGTACTCAATTCATCCCAAATTATAAGACGTTTGACTTTTTTGACACCAAGTTTGACCACTCGTCTTATTTAAAAATTTATGTAAAATATCACTTCTTTCGTCGTGGTTTGGTTTATTAATAAAAAATCTTCAAGAATGACTTAAATTTGACTATATTTGCACAAATTTTTTGAATAAGACGAGTGATCAAACTTTGGGCCAAAAAAGTCAAACGTCTTACAATTTGTGATGGAGGGAGTAGAACATACAAGACCCAGAAAAGAAAATAGAAGGTTTGGAACACACACCGGACTTAAAAAGTGTTACAAGGATGGAAAAGAAGTCCATCAATTTATTGGTTTCCTGTAGTTGCTGATCCTCCAAGCGCAGAGCACTTGCCGTAGGGTGAGTGACCATGTCACTGTCATGATTCATGAAACCCTAACAACACCGTCAGAAACTAACATCTTGAAAACAATATCATCTCTGAAACCTTATTACTCAACAAACTCTGCTAAAAGCAAAGCCATCGATGAAACAACATTCTTCAACATGTACAGCTCTACAGCTGGTTCTATTCTCAATTCTTCCAATGTTTTCAGATAGCAGGGTACACCATTTTGACACTCGCAAATTTTGCTCGCAAACACCAGCTCAATTTAAGTGTTACATGATCAGGGGCCTCACAAGTGTCAAGATCAAAGGAGTTTCTAGTTCATCTACCAAGGTTCCCTATATAAAGTCAGACATGGCATGTGGTAAACGAGAGACTGTCATTTTGTAGTTCCTTGTCCTGAGGGAGGGTCAGCCTCAGGCCTGGCATAAAATGCGGAAGTTTCTGCATCCAGTAGGATTTGCCTCAGATGTTTGTCTTCCAGATGTTCCTGGAAACAATGAAAATGTCGACAGTCAGCCATTAGAGAGAGAGAGAGAGAGAGAGAGAGAGAATAAAGGAATATAACATACTCAGGTTAATGTGATGAGAGGCAGTGTCCATGTAAAATCTGAGGAAACCTTGGCTCATGTTTAATGACTCATACAAATATCCACCGATAATAATTACTTCTGTCAGAGGGAAAGAGATTTGGAACTCAATCCCTGAACATAGCTATTCCAGTAATAACAATCCCAAAAGATGCAGGACAGCAGTAATTCAGTATGGCAGTCAAATACTCCCGCCAATTAAAGCATATAAGCCGTGGTTGTAGTTAGCATGATCTTCAAAATTACATTTGGAATTCTCTTTGATACAATTAAACTGAATTATTTATAGAAACAAAAGCATTCTTGCAGGAAAGTCCTTTCTAACATGAATATAACAGTACTACTTTTGTATCACAAAATGTATATATTGTTGACTAATAGATGATAAAAGAAAAACAAAGTTCAGTGTGAGTAGACAAATATCACAAATATAGATCGATTTTAAATGCTGTAAGTAATCGGTCCATTTTCTTTGAAAGATTTAATCAGTCCATCAATTTCACTGCCAAGAATATTCGACTCTAACAACTGGTTGGTGGCTATTTCTGTGTCCAATTGTAAATATAAATTGATATAATGTGGCTTACTGTGATATATAACCATGCAGTTTATAGTAGTGTTATCAGGCGATGAGCATTGTTGGCTCTATTACCTTTTAAATATACATAGTGCGCACACTACCGAATACAGTTCTTGAAAATAGAGTTGTCATTTGAAAGTTAATCTATTTGGTTATGTTGAGAATTTTGCTTGCTCAATAATGAATCATTCAACTAAACTCAAGTTTCTTGAGAACGCATACAAAAGGGTTTTTGTTGATTCACGAAAAGGTTGCTTGGAAATCGTGATAATGGTGCTCCCAAATTGCAGTAACCACATCACCAACGAGATCTATCTGCACACAACCACCCTGCTCTAGATCTTGCGGCCAACTCCATTGAAGAATCCCGGCCTAAGCTACGACAGCAGTGCCGAGTACACAATCCCCTCTTCAAACGAGTGCAGCCACCCCCTACTGGATCGGAGCACCATCACATCCAAGAACAGCGCCCTTGCGAAAAACTGGGATCCTTATCGAACCCAACAATACAATAAGATGAGCCGTGATCCTGCAGCCAGGGAGGCAGGGAGCAAGAGATGCAAGCAAGTCGGAGGCAGGAGAAGCGCGGGAGAGGGGGGTGGGGTTACCTCGAGGCAGGCGCGGTACTTGTGCCAGTGGTCGGCGCAGTCGTCCCTCTGCCACTGCCCCTTGGCGAACTTCTCCGAATACCACCGGTTGAAGCACTCGTGGTACGCGGTGCGCAGCTCGGAGCACGCGGCCGCCGCCTTTGAGGGCGCGGACGGCGTCGTCGACGAAGATGATTTACTCCGGCCGAACACCATGCTTGGAGGCTTGGATCAATCGAATTAGAGAACAACCTGTTGTATTGTATTGTACCCCAGTTGCTCTGCAGTCTCGCAGAAGGGAAGGGGCCACGCAGTCGCCGGCTCGCCAGCCAGGCGGCCGCCCAACGCGCCTCCGACTGTGGAGCGCGGAGGGAAGCCGCGGACACCCTCTAGCGGCTAGCGCAGAGGACCTGGTGGCGACGGGCGGCCGCAACCCCTCTTGCCGAGTTGACGGCCGATGGCGCCGCGGTGGGCGGCTGGTGGTAGCGGTAGCGGCGCAGCGGCTAGGGTTCAGCAGCACTGTAGCAGCCAGCCAGGCAGGGAGAGGAACGGCCGAACGTGGATGGGAGTCGAGTTCAAGTCGGATTGGGGATCCCGTCTCCGTCTGATTGCGACGCTGGCGTATGCTGACTCGCGTAGTCGCGTGTCGAGGAGGAGCTCCTACTTTCTCCTCTCGGTTGGGAGTACCAATTTGGCCCAACAGCCCAGTTACTTCTGGTTGGGCCAAAAATTCACATGTAGAAGTAGGTCCTAAGAAGTATTTTGGACCACGCTAGGGTCATAGGCAAAATATGCGGTGAAAACTAATTTTGAAAATATATTTTGGTCATTCAAAAAAAAAATTAAACTTGGCACATCCATAGTTCATCTAAATATGTACTTACATGCAAAATTTAGAATTTAACATGATTTTAAAAATTCATACGAAAATGGTAAATTTTAGGTTAAAAGATAAAATTCCTAGATTTCATCATTTAGTGTGAACCTCATATTTGTCAATTTTAATGATTTTTTCAGTTTAATTTTACATCTCAACTTTTTCGTGTGAGTATATATCCGTATGCACTATGAATATACGAAATTCCATTTTTGAATGGTCGGAATAAGTTTTTTTTGTATTGGTTTTTACGTTCACCTAGTAGGTGGTTTTCACCACATATTTTGCCTACAGCCATACCCGCCCCTGATGCTTCCTGCTTCCATGTGTTGCCGCCATCGATTTTTGTTTTACCCGTAAGGGCTTGTTTGGATGAACATGTATTTACTCCAATCCATATGTGTTAGAGTGGGTTGGGGTGAAACCTATACCTAATATTAAAGAGCCAAAATTTACGCCAAATATAATTTTTATCTAGTCCTCCTGCATTCACCTTTTTCATCACTTCTACGTTTTGAGACTAATAGATGCCGAAGGAGTTTTCCATATTGGTACCACGAGATGCAAGAGGAGCAAAATTGAGGCAAATTGAGGCCACCCTGCATCAGATCGAGATCAAAGCAAGAACACGAATCAAATTGAGACCAAATTGAAACCATCATAGACAACTACCAAATCAAATTGAAACATATTGAGACATAAATCAAGGAAGCATGGCAGTGGGCAGAAATCAAATTTGAGCCGAGACCAAACTACAAATCCCTATGTCGGGTTCATAAACCCAGGGTCCCCGATAGGCCCGCTTCCCAGCAAAAGCTCGGCCCAGCAGACGGCATTACAACAACGCGCGACTCCTAGGCCGGCCCAGATACCTAACGACAGGCCGGAAGAGCTATCCAGTCTCCGACCGAAAGGCCTGGCCAAGGAGGGGACGACGCTCGCTTCCGACTCGACCCGCTTTTCCGAACAGGAATACACCGAACCTCTACTTGCAGCTCTTCTCCGACTGACACGGTCGGAGCCGATCAGGAACGACCGATCGGGGACGCCCGCTCAGTGAAGACCCAAGAATCAGGCGGAGCAGATAAGGCAAGACGCTCAAGTCAACCGCAATACCGATGATCGTACCCTGCACACATGCAGGACAGTACCGCTAGGCCATGCTAGAAGGGTGCTATGCAACCTTCCAGACATGTTAGAACACAAACAGTGTTGTGGTTGTGGGCGTTGATATTTGTCCTACAGTATGGTTGGCGCCGACATTTGCCATACCAGACAAACACGATGGAGCCTGCCACATGCATTTGGGCGTCAACAGTATTGTGGGCATCGACAACTGTCTTGTACTCGACGACGTGGGCAACAAGACTAGGTAGCACACACACTCACTCACTCTCACACACTTGTAAGGCCATCCCCTTCACCTATAAAAGGAGATACGCACTCTCCCAACCAGGAGGACGGTCATTTCGACTCTCTCTCTCTCTGCTAAGCTTTAGACATTCTGAGCACTCGAACAACTCCACAACTCTAGAACTCTAAAGCTACACAGAGCATATGTTCTAATACTTAGCGTACGTTGGAGCTCTCATCACTCTTGGCCCTTCGGTTCAGAGCTCGACCGGACCTTTAACACCCCCCTTCTTATTCCCACTCGTTTGTAACCCTACAGCAAACTTCGAACACCTAGGCTCAGGAATAAAGTCACCGATCGACTGAAACTAGATGTAGGGCATGTTGCCTAAACCAGTATAAATCCTATGCCATTAAGTGCTAGGCCACATCCGATCACAACGTATGACAAAACTATAAATATTTACTTGTTGGTCACTTTTCGCACCGACAGTTGGCGCCGTCCGTGGGGAAGGCGCCGTGCGTTCACGCTTTTGGTCATCGGATGGCCCACCTTTCCACCATCTTTGGCATGACGGGCTCAAACGATACGATTCGCTTTGGCTCGCTGTAGTTTCCCATGCTCCCACCTATTGGGATGTGGGTTCCTCCCGTCCTCGAGCCGTTCTAGACCTTCCTCTTCGGAAGCTTGGACTTCGTCGCCGACCAGCTCGGCGTACTTCACCTTCGTAAGGAGGCACTTGTCCCGGCGCCCATCAGAGGAGGAGCGCCCTTCATCGGCTCTGGGCCACCCGATGACCTCAACGACGAGACATCTGCGCTTCGCTTCGAGCCCACGTTGGGCTCAAGCCCCACTATGAGTAACGTACATATTGTTCTTTACTCGCTATTGAATACCTTCCACCGATTCTCCGAAGGGGCCCTGTTGCCCCCGCCACGACCACCATGCAACCGGTTCCCCTACGGCCTCACGTCCCCCGTGGACGCGTACACATAGGGGCTCCGAAGGACGCTGATACCGCCCCCTCTCACATCCAAATTTGTGGGATGGAAGGCTATGCTCCTGCCTCTTTTCACGACCTCATAGATGACGAGGTTGAAAGCGACGGCTCCAGTATCGACGATGTGGCACTTGGCCACCCTCCGTCCTGGGAGTGCGCTATGGCGGATGCTCTAGGACAGCCACTAGTGGTAGCGGAATCTCTACAGACACACACCCCTCTAGACCCTCGTGCGAAGGCCCTCGCTCGTGCGTAGGAGCACGGCGACGGCCCTCGCTCGTGCATAGGAGCACGGTGAAGAGTTGCAACAAAGGCGGCAGAGCCAACTGCCACCTGTGCTGGCACGCTCAGCACAGCACGCTATGCCACACGCGCGTAACCAGAGAGCGGCGCCCGAGGTCACGCCCATTAGGTCCAGCGCAACATCCTGGATGGAGGAAATGATCCCCCACAGTTCGCTCGGGCTGGCCAGAACATCGCCGCTGCAGCGATGCTTCTGCGTGGCCTTCCCGAGCCTGTCGACCCCCAGGAGCAGGCGGTCCACCAGAACCTCCGGGCGCTGGTGGAAACTGGCTCGTGGCCTCTTTCCCCACCAGGGGAATAGGGGCGCACCAGTCGAATCGCTCTATCTGCTCACCACAACAGTCGTCGGCGCATGGAATAGGAGGCCACAGCTGCACCATGGCCTGACCCGGCGCCTGTTCCACACCGACCACCTATGCGTGAACGGCTCGAGCCGAACCGTGATGCTCACAGCATCATCAACAATCGACGTCAAGCCCGGCGTGATGATGACGTCCATCAAGGAGCGGTGAGAGCAGGCGGCACGAGCCCTAGCTGGACCATCGAGGGGAGTGGGGACACGCACCCCAGGCATGGTCACTGACCAGATGACCGGAGTCCTAGCCCAAATGGCCCGAGACCACGGGCCTTTGGCCATCGCATCTAGAAAGCGTCGTTCCCACAGCGCTTCCGACCACCCACCAACATCGCCAAGTACACCGGGGAAATGAATCCCGGTATATGGCTCGAAGACTTTTGGCTCACCTACCGAGCCGGAGGAGTGGATGATGACCACTTCATCATTCAATACCTCCCTATCTACGTGAGGGAGCATGTTCGAGCATGGCTCAAATTCCTCCCGCCTGATAGCATCCGCGACTGGGCGAATCTCAAAAGGATCTTCATTGGGAATTTCCAGGGGACGTATGTCCGTCTTGGGAATTCCTAGGACCTCAAGAGCTGCTAGCAGGAGCCCAACGAGTCCCTACGGGATTACATCCATAGGTTCTCAAAATGATGCAACTCCCTTCCTGATGTCATTGACATGGACGTTATCAGTGCGTTCCTCTCCGGGACAACCTGTGAGTCCTTGATCCACAAGCTCAGCTGTCTGAAGCCCCGTACCACCCCTGACCTACTCGACATCACCACGAACCACGCCTCCGGCGAGGTGGCGGTCGGAGCGGTCTTTAGCAGAGGCCGAGACAAGGGCAAGGCCAACCGCAAGGACCAAGGCAAGGGCCCCTCCACGCAAAGAAGCAAAAAGAACAAGAAGGATCAGCGTCGACCGGGCAACTCCGCTTTGGTCGCCGTGGCCAATCATGCGGGCAAGCAGCCCTAGCAGGGTTAGCCCGACCACTTCGACAAGCTCATAGAGAGCCTATGCACCAACCACGTCTACCCCATCAAGCACCTCTACAAGGACTGTGAACTCCTCAAGCGCTTTCTACAACAAGCCAGTGGGCCAAAGGAAGGAAAGGGCAAGGAGGCAACGGCCAAGAAAGGAGGCACGGCAGGTAAGGATGATGACAGCTTTCCTGACCCCGAGGAATGCCTCATGATCTTTAGGGGATCCAATGCCATCTACTCCAAGCGCCAGCACAAGGTGTGCTACAGAGAGACATGTGTCGCCGAAACGGCCGCTTTCCTTAGCTGGTCAGAATCTTCGATCACTTTTGATCAGAGGGACCATCCTTCCCACG